GGGAGGGAAGTGCACGGGACTATGGTGATGGCACACAGGTGATTTGGTGATGAGAATCCCACGGGGATTAAAACTGAGATGGAAAAAGGCACAAAATGATGTAAAAATAAACTATTTTATTATTTTTAAATTTTCTTTCCCTTAAATGATCCCAGTTAGGAGAGTGAAGGCAGCAGTACAGAGCTGCATGTGCAGAGTGACAAAGGCAGTGAAGGAATCAGAATATTCTATGGAGTGAGGACCCTCGACTCTCAGGGTCATGTCTGCCACGCTTCCACTGAAATAGGAGGGAGCTGAATTGGAAGAGGTATTGGAATTTGGATCTCATTATTGTTTAAGAGGGACACTTTGACCTTTTCTAAGTGGGGTGATGAGATGTGAAAATTAAATTTCAGTTCTTCAGTAGTGTTGAAAATGAATTAGTGGGAGAAGAGCTCGAAGGAAGAAAGACCATCCAAAATGTGATGACTCTCACACAACCCATGTGAGGGAAAGAAGGTAGTTACAAAAGAGCACAACTAATGAGTCTATTCATAAAGCGTAGAAGCAGATAGGGCAAATGGACAGTTTTTTTAAACCAATGTGGAGGCTCACGGAGAGGGGAAAGTGACATGAGAGAGTTCCATTCACTGCTCTTAAAATCCATTGCACTGTGCTCTTATAACATTGTGACCTATGTGACATCTATGGAGTCAAACTTTAGCAAAAAGCTCACTCTAAAAAGAGACCATTTATGACCTCACTGGTGGCACAAGTGTATAGTCTCAGTGCTATCAAGCTATCACCAGCCAGTGCTGCATGAATTCCATCCCCGGCCAGGGAGCTGACCCACATACCTAACCTGTCTCTCCTGCTCCTCCCTTCAGCAGTATATTTCAGTAGATCTGCCTGTTCTGCTCCCCATTCCATCTCTGGTGAATCCTCTCACCCCCTATACCTCTGGTCTACACCCCAATTCTTGAATGCATAAATAAATAAAAATAAATCTTTAAAAATAAAAGAGAAGCTCTAGGAAGCCACTGCAGCACAAGTTCAATCCCCTGCCAGGGAGCTGACCCACATGGCATGGCAGACCTCTCCTGGCCTGCCTGCTGCTCCCCTCAGCAGTGTACTTCAGTAGCTCTGACTGTTCTGCTCCCTGCTCCCCACTTTGTCTCTGGTGAATCCTCTCATCCACTACTCCTCTGGCCTGTACCCCAGTTCTGTAAGCATAAATAAATAAAATCTTTCAAAAAATAAAAATAAAATAAATAAAAACATAAAAGAGAGAGAGAGAAGCAATAGCAAAAAGAAAAAACCTGCAAAGGACTTAGGAATAATTTTAATATATATGTAATTCCTGAATGCAGAAAAGTTAGTGGGACAAAATTACAGTTGAGTAAAAATAAAGAGGAAAACTCAGTATTACAGACAAATCAGTCCTCTCCAAAACACTCTATAAAGTCAATGCACATCCTCTCAGAATCTCAATAGCCTTTTTTCAGACATTGATAAAGTGATCTAAAGTTTGTATGAAAAAAAAGAAAAATATAAGTCAAGATACCGTGGGTGGGTAAAGAGCCTTAGCAGATGTCAAGATTTATTACAAAGCAATAATAAATAACCAAACCAATGTGCTATTGATAAAGGGAGAGACAAACTTGATTTTTATAAGAATATCAATGATGACTCAAACTCATAAAAGGTCAAATTTTACTATGTGAGTTTATTTCAATAAAAGAGCAAAATGACCTTATATCTTTAGGTCTATTTCTGGATTATTTTTTGTCTCTTTGATCTGTTTATTGGTTCTTATAGGAGTACTACACTGTCTTAAATATATAATTGTGTGTCAATTCTTGAAGGCAGGAAGTGTGTGTAAAAAATTGTTCTTCCTCAGCATTGCTTTGGTTATTCTAGGTACACATTTCCATATTAATTTTAGAAGCAGTTTATCAATTTTTGCTCCCTCTCTCCTTCCTTCCTTTCTTCCCTCTAGTGAGAACGCATACATTCTAATCTCCGCAAATTTCAATTATATACCAGTTTATTAATTTATTTTAAAAAACTAGGGCCCTCCCTGGTGGCGCAGCGGGTTAAAGCACAGCACTGAGAATCTGAAGCCACTTCCGCATGAGTTCGATTCCCGCCTGCCGCCTGCCCCGGAGGAGACCACATGGCGAGCCAGACCTCTCCTGGCCTGCCCGCTGCTTCCCTCAGCAGTGTACTTCGTAGATCTGCCTGTTCTGCTCCCCACTCTGTCTCTGGTGAAGCCTCTCACCGCCCCTGAGTCTCTGGCCTGTACCCCAGTTCTGTATGCACAAAATAAATAAATAAATCTTTAAAAAAAAACTATTGGGGTTACAATTAGATTATGTTGAATTCATAGATTAATTGGAGAATTTGAGATCTTAATATTGAGTCATCCAATCCATGAGTTTGGAACTTCATTTAGTTAGATATTCTTTAATTTCTCTCAGTAGCATTTTGTAGATTTTCCCTTAAAGATTGCAGAATTGTAAGTAGCAAAATAATTGTTAGCATACCATAACACTGTTCTTGCTATTTTCTATTTGTAATGCCCTGGACACTGTGCTGTATAATATATACAGATCTACTTACCTCATTCTAATGGCTACACAGTATTTCACTGTCTCACTGTACCACCCTTTATTTCATCTGTCCACCCTAATGATGACTCTCAGTTGCATCACTTTTAGTTTATATTGTGTTACTTCTAGTCTATAAACAGTGTTGCAATTAATATTATTTTGCATATACCTTTATACAGAATGTTGGCAAGATTGAATTATTATAAGTGGAATTACAAGGCAAAACATGTTCTGAACAATGGTGAAATTGCTTGTTCAACCAGAAGACAATGGTGAGAAATGTAAATGGGGATGTCCCATAGATATTTGTAGTACCTGAGAGGACACCTATGAGTGTGTGTAGCTGCTTTTGCAGTGAGGTATTTGGAACAGAGTAGGTGTGTGGAAGTAGGCTGAGAGTGACAAATACTCATTACTTGAGAAAAATAACATGAATGACCTAATGCTCTTAGGTCTGTTGGACAACTGTTCCATAGCAAAACCATCAACTCAGTTCAACTCTTGCCCATATCCTGAGGGTAAGCAAGGAGATGTCTAGAAGGAAGAGGAGGAAGGGACACCTAGCCTGACCTTGAGAACATCTATTATTGGAGTGGCCACCAAGGCATCTGGGCCACCCAGCCAGTCATGGCCCAGCATAGATGCCCAGTCCCAGAAAAGTATTTCAGGGTGACCCTGAAAATATCTTATTCCCGGGAGACAAAGATCAGCAGGATGGGGCAGGCTAGTACCAGGATCCTTTATGAGTTGAATCATGAATTCATATGAGAGACGCTATAGCTGAGAGTAAAGGTGTGTGTAGTCCTTCCCTGTGTACGGGAAACTGGAGGAACACACTCAGTCTCAGTTTCCATCCAGCATAGTGATCAGGCTCACTCCTCCAAGTCCCCTTTTTTAATGGAACAGGGTTCTGTTCTCGTGCTTCTCCCTACAAGGCAAGTCTGAAGTGAGCAAATGTGGTGATGGTTCTGGGTGCAACATTTCGAGGTACCCAAAAACTCAGAAATCAAAACAAAGAATATCTTTATGCAGAATTTAAAGAATTCTAAATTTATTTTTAAAATCCGTGATCAACTTTAAGTATTCTTTGAAAGATTCATTTATCTATACATGCAAGAGCTGGGATACATGCCAGAGGTGCAGGGTGGCGAGAGGATTCTCCAGAGACAGAGTGGAGAGCAGAACAGGTAGATGTACTGAAATACACTGCTGAGGGGAGCAATGGCTGAAATAGAGGTCTGCTGGGCATGTGGGTCACCTCCCTCGATGGGGATCAAACTTATCATGCTTCAGTGGCTGTGCATAGTTTCATAGTACTGTGCTTTCCCTCCCTGTGTCATCAGGGGGGGCCCTCAAATTTAAATACTAAAGACAAGATCCAGCCCTTCACTTTCATCACCCTGCATCACCTGCCTACCTAGTCCTTGCTCCTAGTCCTTGCTCCTTGTAAAACCTTAGTTACAAAAACATGTGGCCGGCCCACAGGCTGTAGTTTGCCAATACGGTTTTTAAAAGTTAAAAGTCTTCATTATTTTATTGTACTAAAATACTAAGAACTTGTACCATTAAAAATATATATTTATTTATGCATACAGAACTGGGGTATAGGCCAGAGGTGCTGGGGCAGTGAGAGGCTTCACCTGAGACAGAGTGGGGAGTAGAGCAGTGAGATCTAAGAAGCGCACTGCTGAGGGGAGCTGCAGATGGGTCGGGAGAGGTCTGCCGCACCATGTGGATCACCTCCAGGTGCGGGATCGAACTCAAGGGAAGTGACTTTAGCTTCTTAGTGCTGTGCTTTAACCCGCTGCGCCACCAGGGAGGGCCCGAAATTGTACTACGTTTAAGTGTCCATGTGACCATGTCATTTTAAATATACAGTGGCACTAAGTACATTCACATTAAGATATTAAAATAATATATGCTGTGATTGAGGAGCTTTACATACGGTTTGCACTGTTGAGGTGCGGGAGAGTGGGGAAAGGTGAGAGTCAGAGACTTACTCTAGTGCCTGGTCTGCCGCACTCCTTGCCCCCTCCTGTTGTCTGATCATGGAAAATTACAAGTTTCTCCCACAAGGCAGCAACAGCAGTTATTCCAGTGGTGATCAAGCCATCGAGGATGTTCGTCCAGACAGCCACCGGCGACGGGACTTGCTTCGCCTGCAGCCGCCCGCCCGTTCCGCTCTCCAGCAACGGGACACACCTGGCGGGCGCGCCCTCTACCTGCCCGCGGCCACCTGGCCAGAGGCCCGCCACCCCGTCTGTCCAGCCCGGCTCTGCAGCCAGCCGGCCAATGGGGAAGGGGGACTCGACGGCTCGGGCGGCGTCCCGCCGGGGGCCAATGGGAGCGCGGCATGCAAATGAGCAGGTGCGGTGGCGGCCGGCCCGTCAAGGCAGCGGTGGCTCGGGGGCTGTTAGAGGCGCGCTGGGCGGCCGCCGAGCAGACGCCTCGCTTCTAGCTGCGAGCTCCGGTCTCCCGCCATGGCCCCCGCTCCGCCCCCCGCCGCTTCGTTCTCACCCGCCGAAGTCCAGCGGCGCCTGGCGGCCGGCGCCTGCTGGGTTCGCTGCGGCGCCCGCCTCTACGATCTCACGGGCTTCGTGCGACACCACCCTGGGGGTGAACAGCTGCTCCTGACAAGGGCTGGCCAGGATGTTAGCGCCGACCTGGACGGGCCGCCGCACCGGCACTCAGCGAACGCACGACGCTGGCTCGAGCAGTACTACGTGGGTGAGCTGCAAGGAGACCCGCAGGTACAGCAAGTTCGCGGTCACAATCGCTCTTCTCTGCCCCGCTTCCCTTTCCCAACTCTCCACTCCCCGGCGCGCTCGTTCACCTGCGCTCTGAGAGGAAACCAAGGTGACAGCTTCCACTCTCAGGTCTGCTTCTTTTCTCTTCTCTCCAGGTGGTAGCTCACTCCTTGCACGCATGCACACTTCCAGCTTCCCCTTCTCTCCAGCGTTTCCCCTGACCCTCTCTATGTGCTAATTGTACCATCACGCAAAAAACCCGTCCTTCCCACTTGTTCTTTCTGCAGTCGCTGACACCTGCAACTTGGGAACATCTTTTTTCAGCCCTATGCTGCTCTCTCCTCTCCTTGTTCTCTTATTGGTCTACACACACACACACACACACACACACACACACACACACACACACATTGCAACTGCTCTTCATTCCCATTCTGTCCTCTCCTATCTCCCTTTTCATCAATCAAAAAGTAATCAACTTCATCCACTAGTTTGCCTTTCCTGCTGTGCCCTTATCTTGCAGGAGAACTCCTTGAGGTATATGGAGAGGTTGGGCTGTGTTTTGGGGAGCCTCTCACTCTCAGACCTCTCACTCCTCAGACCTCCCTTTATTCCTTGTCTTTCATGCTTGGGTATCCACAAGAGTGAAATGACAAAGAGAAACCAGTTATTTGCAGAAAGAAGGGCTTAACACTTCCATCTGCTTGCTGCTGTGCTGAGTAGATAAGCCTCTGATCGTGGAGTCATCTTTGTTATCCCCATTTGAGGATGTGGAAACTTAGATTCAAGAGCCTAAGCAATTTGTTCAAGGTCAAACAGCTAGTTAGTGGGATAGCCAAGTGAAGCTGATTCCAAACAGAGGCTGTCCCCAAGGGTCTTGGGGGGGGTGCCCCTATCCACAGGGCAACTTGCTGCTGGCCAGGATGTTAGGCTCAGACCAGAAGCAAACCCATCATCTGCCTGAAGGACAGTGACAGGGGGCCATAATGGTAAACATAAGCCAACAATTGTCTTCTACTTCTCGCTCTTGCTTTCAAGTTGGCCCCAATAAGTGCATTTGAATGAAAGGACTTGGCTGTCTTCCAGATGGCCCCTCTCTGGACCATCTTACCTAATTTTTCATTTATTCACTCAGTCTCTTAGTCCCTCAATGACTGGCAGCCCTGGGCTAGGCATAGCAGTCAAAATTATCTTCTTGTGGGCCCTCCCTGGTGGCTCAGCAGGTTAAAGCACTGCACTGAGAAGCTAAAGCCACTTCCTTATGAGTTTGATTCCCGCCTGCCCCGGAGGTGACCGCATGGCATGGCAGACCTCTCCTGACCCGCCCGCTGCTCCCCTCAGCAGTGTACTTCGTCGATCTGCCTGTTCTGCTCCCCACTCTGTCTCTGGTGAAGCCTCTCACCACCCCTGACCCTCTGGCCTGTACCCAAGTTCTGTATGTACAAATAAATAAATCTTTAAAAAAAAATTATCTTCTTGAAGCCAAAAGCTGATAGGAGGGTGTCATACTAATGGCATAGTATGTGACTTGTGATTCCCAGTATGGATCTGGAGAAGAGAAGCTCAGGGAGAGCTCTCTTGAAAACATGACAATCTCACTGAGAGACTTTCGATGGGTAGGGCTTCATCAGGTGAAGTGTGACCAGGGGAGGAGCATTCCAGATGGGAGGAAGAGCATGGTGAAGATCCTGAAGGGGAAGGACTTGACATGATCAAGAAATAAAACTCAAACTGATGTGCCCAGTGCCTGGTGGACAAGGAGAGGGATGTGGGAAGAGCCAAAGGTCAGCTCATGGTGCAGGGCCTTGGGGGTTGTGGTCAGGGTTTGCTACTCAATTCTAAGAAAGATGGGAAGCCAGAAAAGGGATTTGGCAGGGGTGCAGCATAGCCAGATTTGCATCTTTGGAGAAGGCATTCCAGCATCCCAGCTGCAGTACTGAGAGGAAACAGAGGGATACCCACTGGGTGAGAGGAGACCCAGTAGAAAGCCTCAACAGTGAGGAGGGTAACAGTTGCTATGACCAAGAGGCAGGTGGGGGTGAATTTGGGAGATATCACAGGCAAAATGCCAGGACCCGTCTTGCTGAAGAGGGAGCTCAGTTTAATCTTGGAAGCTGATATTTGGTGTCGGGTCATATTTAGAGGGCTGAAGGGTTAGCTCAGAGTGGGAAGTAAGAAAGCCTGGGATCAGAATAGATTTCCAGGCTGTGAGAGTCCATGAGCCATGTTACACTGCAACTGAGTCCTATAAACAGGAGCCCTGGGGGTACCTCCCCCTTCCGGTGTAATGGTGCTGATAGTGATGGGTGTCTCTTCTGATCCACTGCCTTGGCGCTCCCTCCTGTCTCTCCTAACAGCCCAGTAGGGTTAGCTTTTGCTTTGCTTTGCTTTGCTTTGCTTTGCTTTGCTTTGCTTTGCTTTGCTTTGCTTTGCTTTGCTTTGCTTTGCTTTGCTTTGCTTTGCTCGCCTTACTTGATTCTCAGAGAACTGAAAGAATATTGAGTCCACATTTGCATCCTACATTTTCCTGTTACCCCCAGAGTCCCACTATGACCATGCCATAGGAAACCTCCTATCTGGGTCCAATTGCAGGATGTGGGCCAAACCCATGGGCCCAACCCATAGCCCAGATTCGACCAAGGGCCATACCCAGCAAACATACCATTTGCCTTTTGACTTCTGTCTACAGATTTCTGTTCTGGAAACAAGTATAGTATTGTATTTGAATCAGGAGAGAGCAGTCATTAGAGGGTAATTCTATAGAGAGGGTGTCCTTTCAGAGATGCCTTTTTAAGGCCTGTGTGGAGTTGGGGGGCTTTCCGTGTTCTCACACTAAGCCCTTCTAGCACCCTAATGCTGCCTTCTCCACCTCCTCTCCTGCTGGACCAGGGATGCTAACACCTGTTGAAGTTACAGCTATCTCTTGTAGAAAGAGGAGCAAGAGGGACATTGTTGGGGGGAGGGGACCCCAAGCCATCCCTGCTCCTTTCAGAGTGGTACCCCACTCCAGAGGTCCCTGGAAGTGATCACAATCCTTGAAATCTGCTGTGATATTTCCAGGGAAAACCCTGATCCCATTGTTCCCCTGGTCTCCGCTTTGCCACAGTCCCTCTATGTCCACATTTACACTCATTGACACTCACGCGTAAAACAAGTCAGACTTGTTTAAGCCAACATACTATGGGGATAAGACAAGGTCTGCTGTGACTGTGGCCTTAGACTTGAGGAAGCTGAGCTGTCTGCCTGGAGCAAATAAAAGTAATGTCTGAGCAGAGAAGCCAGGACCTGTTTCCTGCCCCTGCCCCTCAGGGGTCAGGGGGATCAAACTCACTCTGACTTCAAGTAAAAGCAGTTTTTCCCACTTTTGTTTGCATCATGAGCGGAGTATGAGTTCACTTCTTGAATTGCCATCAGCACTTTTTAAAAAGAAAGGAGTAAAATCCTTGGGGTCCAAACCTCCTCCCAAGGCTATAGATACTATGCTCACCAGACTTTGGTTTATCCATAAGCCCTGTTACAGTATTTTTCTGAGTTGACCTGCCAATCAAACTATTATATTTGTTTTTAAGTACTCATGCCTTTAACCTTGCCATTTATGTACCCTGGACCATAATACCAGTGAAATCACAGAATTTGCATGCACTTTAAAATCTAGAGCTATGGGGCCCTCCCTGGTGGCACAGCCGGTTAAAGCACAGCACAAGAAGCTAAGGCCACTTCAGCACAAGTTCTATCCCACCCTAGAGGTGACCCGCAGGGCACAGCAGACCTCTCTGACCCGCCGGGTGCTCCCCTCAGCAGTTTACTTCATCAGTCAGCCTGTTCTGCTCCCCACTCTGTCTCT